AATATATAAAAATAAAAATAAAAAAAATAAAAAAAAATAAAAAAAAATTGAAGTATAAAAAGTGATAATAAATAATACATGGGAAAGTAGTGATTATATTTTTGCTATAAATTGTTATTTATTTACACATAGGCTTTGAAAATATGAGACATAAAATTTATTACGGAAATATTTTTAACATGTCCTTGGACGGTTTTAAATAGCACAGGTGTCAATTATATAAGTATATAAAAACATTCTTAAGAAAAATATATATATTTATATATTTTATTGTTTAAATTATTATTTATTGTTTAAATATTTTTAATCTATTAACATAGATATAAACAATTTACGAAATTATGAACACGTTAGAAATATTAAAAAAGACTGAATTTAATAGGATCCCAATGAAAACAATGATAGCCATTTATATTTTTTGCGATATAATGTATGAGAGCAAGTGAATATGTTGGAAAAAAAATACTTACAACATGAGCATGTAGTCGGCTAATTTAACCCGTTATATATTTTCAAACAATATCTTATACCTGTACGTGAGATATCACTCTCTTTTGTGAAATTCACTCCCTTTTGCGTCTTTGACAAATAACGGCGTTTTACATTGAACTAGGCGATGGTTATTGAAAATAGTGGTGAGTTCATTTATACTCTACGTTGCTTCGGTAAACGCAGAGGTCATGTTAAAAAAGCATCTACTTATGACATCTATGACTTATGACAGATCTCATAAGCCCCTTCGGGTGAAGGGATTAAAATATTCTCACAATAGGCATGCCTCTCGTAAGAAGCGACTAAAATTCCGGTACCACGCCGACACTTATGCAGGAGTGTACATAGTAGTAAGTGACACGGCATTTGCGAAACCTGACCAGAAGTGAGTATCTGGTACTACGGGGGTAAGTGGGCCCGCAGCTTCGGCTGTGCTGACCAGTTGAGGTTGGATTTGTAGTGGCTGTTGGTTAGTACTCAAACTTACGCGGGAAGAATATTCAGTTTTGGTTCACATTCGCCGTGGAGTTGCATATTCACTATCGGATGCTACCACCCACATTGTAGCAGAGGTTTTAGATGGGCCAAGCTTGACGCCTTGTATTAATACATATGTTTTTAAACACCGTAATATAAGGCTATTATGGCGAAAAATGTTACGTTAAATAACAACAAAGACAGTAGATCTCATAAGTTCACAACTGGTGGCTGACGTCTATCAGACAGTGCCAGATCATGTAATCCCTGTAATTTCTTCGAACTTTCCGATAAACATCCTCGATAAACATCCAATGACAAAACAATGACAAAGAAAGTAAGAGACCTATGTCAAAGGAAAATGGAACTTTCCAAACATTGAAGGGTAGATCATTGCTGACTTCATATCCTCATAACGCCTCTACTTTATAGTATAATAGTTTTAAGCAATACTTGTACCCCTTTAAATATGAGAAAGACATATTCTACACCTACTTTCCAGATGTTTTGGAAGACGCGCTTCGCATATTATTTGTATGCTTTCGATTGAGAATAAAACCAACAAATGCCTGCATCATTAGGAAATTGTCCCAAATGAAAATGTCATTTAACATATTTGTGACAGCAACGAGGTAGATGATGCAATGACGAAAGTAATATTTCAAGTTTACCCGACTGAGTTTAAAACTGACAAACAGACGGTATAGTATTGCAATACCTAGCAGTTTTTTTTTTCAGTCAGTTCCATCCGCATTAAACGGTGGAAGCTTTGAGAGAATTAGTTAGTCACCTCCATAATTAAAGCTTTAAATTTTCCGACCTATTTATATTAAAAATATAAATAATATAATATAAATAAATACTGCCGTAGTATTATGTCAAAAATTATAATACTTTTGTTACCTAATATACCCATTACTTTGTTGTTTTTTGCTCCGCCCAGAACAAAAGCAACGAATATCTTTTATGGCTTATGTATGCTTCTGAAGATTCCTGAGGTAGATTCTAGTTAGTGTCCGCATAGGACATCTATTAGCATATGGAAATTTCATATTTTTACGTGCAATGAAATCGACATACTACTTCGACATCCATTGTCGCACTATTGCGAGAAATTTTAAAAAACTTAATAAAATCATGCTTACTAATCACTATGCTTGTTTAATCAGTTAACTCATTACCTTAACATCTCTTTGTTAATAAATTTTGGTATAACAATTTGCCTTTATTGAATCGCTTTCATTTAAAGCCTAACAATAAGTTTTAGAATCTTAAAAACTAATAACATTGCATTTTAAAATATTTTATACATAGTTGCTACATTGAATTAATTATAAAAATGAATTGTTAATTATTTTAAGGGGCCTCTGAATAAGTAGCCATGGCTTATTTTTCAAGTTGAATTAAATAGGGCAATCTTTAGGAAAGCAAAATGGCAGGATAATAGACCTGTCTAGAGTAATTTACCATTTTGTCACAAGAGGTCTAACAAGCAGATTCATATTGTAATCCGTTCTGCCAATTTTGTCCAGATAAAATTGAGAACTCCTACCATATAATTAGAAACTGTATAAGATTCGTAGATACTAGACAAAATGTAGAGACACTAATTAAGGGAGCCAGTCCTTCTTCTATGGTAAAGCAGATTTGGCAAGCAATGAACAATGGAGCCTTCACAAGTGCATAATCTATAGAACAATAAGCAGACGAAATACTTAGTAGGCAATCAGACTAAAAGCACGCTAACTGCTCTTGCCCTGTCTTGTGAAGGAATATCTTAACTTGTCGTACTGCAGAGATCTTCAGGATTCTGAGATTTTTCGAGATTCGATAAAAAAAAAGACAAATAGGGCCATACTAACATATTTAATCGAATTAAGTGGATTTAATACGATTATATGCTTCATCATATTTAAACACAACACAATGAATAACACTGATCAACCAGTGGATTTTCATTATTGGATTTTGTTTTCGAAACTAAAATACATAATCTAAGATTTAAGAAAATAGCTAAACGCTATACCAGAAAGTATCTTTAAAAAATTCCAGAATAAAAAGGATGACATTATCTATAAATTTATTTATATGATAAGTTATTATCTGTTATCTTTATTCAAAACACGTATTCAAACAATTTTTTCTTAATTTTTTTTGCATTTGTTGTGACTTATTGCAAACAATATATCCATTGTAATCTGTTCCAAACTAAAATGATTATTTGATATTCCGAATGTTACGTTAAAGACATTTCTTGACATCTAATCAATCACTGTCCGTTAATTATTAAACTAAATTATTAACTAAAATGCTTATATGATATTCCCAATGTTGGCAGAGAGAGAGAGATACTATCATCTACTTTGTTACTGCCAGTTACTCGCTACAAAACGTAAACGTATTGTAGGATAATTAAAGAGTTTATCATTTCCTGTTTTATAGAAACGGCACTCTAATTTTCTGGTCTAGATTAGCGGTATATTTAAATCATTGTGCTTTGAAATTGTTCTATTTTATTACTTGGGTAGATGAAAACTCTTGTCAGATCTGAAGATTGACAACGTAATCAGCGTTGAGCACTATGGACAAATGCAGAAAGGTACTACATAGACTGGGTTAATTCTATAATGAATTTTATAAGACCTTATGTCTCAGTGTCCTTCATTGGCTAAGAGAAGATTCGAAAGACTTTGTTTCTTACTGACCCAACAGAACTGTCATTCTGCAAAATCAGTAACTTGACTAAGTTTATAGACTTTACACTTGAATGAGGAATCATACCTTTCAGCATTGTTCGTATGCTGATCACTGTGGTCATTTTGGTAATCCTTCTGGTCTGTTTAGGAAAACGCGGACCATTATTTGAGCTCAAGCATGTTTTTGATCGAAGGCTGCAACTGCAACCTGATATAAGCTATCCATTTAGAGGTCAATCAATTAAAATAGTCATGCTTATATTATATAAATATTTTAAACACTTTCGTATTTTACAAAATTTTCATAACCGTTTCACAATTTGTCGATATTTCAGAGGACTTATAAACTAAATTTACTACTTAAAATTTTTCTCTCTCTGTTATATTAACGAGAATATTTTTTACATATTTTATCAAGATACGAGTATTGTTACCGTTAAACAAATCTCAAAAAATTTATGTTTCATTAAGTAGAACTTAATTAAGGGTAACTATTGATAAATTAGCACACTTAATATTATTTTTCAAAGTACAGAGATCTTATAAAATTGAAATTATTATCAAAACTCTCTAAGATAATTTTAATCTATTTAAAATCTTCTGCGTCAGCAATACACAGCGAAAAATTGCAATATATTTGTGGAGAAAAAAAATTCAAATTGTAATAAACGTTTTAGGAAATTTGTATAATTTACATAAATAATTCCGCTGACAATTCGAACGTCATGAAAATGGATATATATTATTTATTTATTCGCGCAGAGTGTTTAATCTAATAGAATGGAAAAGCCAATTTAAACGTTTCACTGCACGTCATGAGCCAATAAAATGTTTTTATTGTTCCGTTCTCGAAACACAGTGTTTACAAAAGGCAGATTTATTTGAATTTATTTATTAATTTAACAGAATTTGAAATATTCGCTAATGTGTCTAATTGTGTATACATAAATTTAGCCAATATAGAACAGCTTTCAAAGATTCATTAATACATAAATTAAACTATTTTTAGGCTCACAATAATCCTTGCTATTTTGCAATTTGTTATTAAAAGAACAACAATAACAACAAATACAAAATTACTATTCTTCATAGCTGAATTTCACGACATATAATTTTCAGTAAAGGAACAACAACAACAACAACAACATGTAGAATTGTTATTGTACATTCTCCTAGGAGAAAAGCAACAACATTTTGCAGGAAAAAACGGTATTTAATATTTTGCCTTTTATTTGTTTTTGCAAAAACACATTACATAAGTGAACAACGCATTTATCCCAAGAGGAAAGAATTCTAAAATATTATTATAAAATTTTAATATTTCATTTTATTTACCTTAATTTGCAATAATATTTATATTACACAATTTGTTGACTGTGCTTTTAATGCAATTTCACCGGATTCGTAGTGTTTAGTCTTATAATAAAATGAATTGCGGCAGTTTTTACAATTATTAAGACACACTAATTTTAACAACAAAGTTGTGAACGTTTAACACCGCACGTTGTTAAAGTTTGATCGAATTCATCTTTACATATTTTAGCACTCACTTCTTTTTTATATGTAAATAATCACCTATATAATGTACAATTATATAGAATTTTTGCAAAATTTTTCACAACACTCAGCTATCAACTCCACCGTTTTCTATGCGTATTGTTTTGCAAATGCGAATGGATTGACAAGCTACGAGAATCAGTGTAACTCTGGGTGCAAAACACAAAAATAACAAATAATAAGTGTCAAAATAACACAAAAAATACACAATATGTGTTGTTTTATGAAATATGTAGTAGGTTTGAAAACTGCCTTATCAACAAAAATTCTGTCTGTTCTACGAGCTACTCGTATTAACATTGAGTAATACTGTGTGTACACAAATGCGTTCCACCAGCGAATTTTTGAGTAAATGAGAGCATACGAGAGAGTGTAACATCCCTGTCGAGATTTGAAAATGCTACACAGACTTTACTCAAACATTTTATTTCAAGTAAATTTTGTGTTGATATGTGAATCAGCTCTTTTGGTTTGAATTTAAATTTTTGTATTGTTTATTTACGCGACACTGGTGTTCTCACAAGACTTTAGACAAAGCTGTTCCATGGAAATCTGTGTAAAGAGCATGATTTGGCACTTTATTTGTGTTACGCTCTCATTTTGTACTTTACTTGTTTTTTACTTGAGTTTTACTACGACTCACTCGTGGAACACACCTCTTATGTGACGTTTTCATTTGGTAAATCTGGTGTAACTTTTTCAATCAGAATTCACTTTTATGGCGTTTTCGATTGGTAAATGTGGGGTAATTTTTTTAATCGAGATTTACTTTTAAGACAATTTTTATTTTCGATTGGTAAATCTGTATAACACTCAAGGTTAATTTATAGGATTAGAAATAAATTTATTACATTCTAGATCCGAGTGTGAATTCTAGTAAATTGATGATAAATTGAAGAAAATAGTAAATTATGTTGGCATGACAGCGCATGTTGATATTTATCAGAATTTCGAGTAGGGTAAATTAGATATAAATTAGCTAAATTAGGTTTTACCATTGTGAAAATTTTTAACAAAAAATAATAAATAAGTGCAATTTAGAAATAAATAAATGATTACATTTACTATTTATTATTGTATATTATTGTTGTTTCATATGTTATTTTTAAAATAAGCAACTGTTCTTTTGTGATATGCTTACAAAAGCAAAGGCCTATTAGTGTTAATAATTATAAGCTAGTGTTGATGATGTGTAAACTAGTATAATTATATAATTCACAAATAACGTAAAAATTATTTATAAGCTACTGTAATTATATAATAAATAGAATAATATACAATAGCCATAAGATATTTTTTCAAAGTTTTACAAAATCAGCATTAATTCTGGTTGAAACAAATTAGTATCACTTTTAGAATATGTTAAATACTTCTTTGACATATATTTTTTGTAGTGTTGTGTACAATATGAATTATAAAAATTTTAAACACTAAAAATTAATTAATTTATATAAAAGAAAAAATCACTATTAGAAAGACCTTGGTTAGCATTTTTTTCTTATATATATTAATTTATTTATATATTTATGTATTTGAATTTATTGATTTTAATGAATGACTGTAATTTTGCAACATATTTACAAGTGAACACTCACAATATATCGAATTTCAAATTTGGCTGCATTAAACTTACAATGTGTGCGAGTTAACCTAAGGTGGTGGACCAAATCGAAGATTTTTTTGGGATTTTTCGCACTGCACACATTTAGCCATTTATTAACACGTGTCGACACATCACTACATTATCGGCACAAGTTAGAATTTCCCTCATTTAGAACGCAACTTATTAGCCTAACTCGCACACGTCCTTAAGACGTGAAAATTTATGCAAGTAAAACCTAACATTAAAGATTTTAAACGCACTGTTGTTGTTTCACATGTTTTCTTTCAAGTTGCGAGTATTATTTCACTACTCTAAGAGAAAAAATTACGGCTATTATTAATACATCCTACTTCAAACTATAAATAGGTATTAATTCGTGTTTACAGGTAGATTATTATAAATTCTATAGCAACAATAAAAATGCACAAGTGCAGAGATACATGCGTGCACTGCCTTACCGACAACATTTCTAAAAAATTTTGTATTACATGCCTTATAAATAGTCGAGCACAAATTTGTCTTCAGTACTGGGAGAGCTGTCAAAGTAAACGGATTTTGGGTTTCAGACGCTTGCTATTTTTTAATTTATTGTTGAAATTTTGTTACTTTGTATGAAAACATTGCTAATAAATTATTTAAAGTATAAAAAATAAAATGGCAAATCTGGAATCAATGATTGTAGAAGAAAAACCAATTGTTAAACAAGTTGATAGAGAAAAGGTATTTACGCTGACAATTGCCGGCTACAACAACAATTGTGTAGTAGTTGTGCATATGAATCTCTATTTTCTATAATAAGCAAGTCCATAAAATTTTTTTTTCCTTATTTTCAGACCTGTCCGCTATTGCTACGTGTTTTTTGCTCAACTGGAAGACACCATTCGGTTTCAGAGTACATGTATGGCAATGTACCATCAAATGAGCTACAAATATACACCTGGATGGATGCAACGCTGCACGAGTTAACATCTCTAGTACGGGACGTCAATCCAGACACACGTAAAAAAGGTACATATTTTGACTTCGCAGTAGTTTATCCAAATTTCCGGAATAATCACTTCCAAATGCGTGAAATCGGCGTTACTTGCACTGGACAAAAAGGAGCTGATGATAATAAGACACTGGCACAAGCAAAATTCTGTATTGGAGATTTTATTGACATTTCGATCACACCGCCAAATCGTATGCCCCCGATGCGTCGCCAGGCACGTTATTAATCAAAATATATGTAAGGAGTTTTCACATTTTTTTTTATAAAAAATTAATTTTTAATTTTATTCGATAATTTGTAATTGGCACAGTTTTCAACAATGCCCAAATACATAGATAATACAACAAAAATAAAATTGTGCATAAATTGCGCTTAAAATTGATATAAAATAAAAATTATACATATTATTATTGACTGTCTAGTTTCTGTAGATTGCGTTCGGCCGTTTCGACTTTCGCTTGCCCAACTGGTTCATATCGATCTCAATACCATTGGGTAATACTGCTTTGTTGTCTTCATAATTGATGAAACCATTCTCCAACTCTTCTTCAGCTTCACGATTGTTGGGATCGCATTTAATGCCGGTTTCATAGTGATATTCACGTTTATTACCATCGGGATCGACGTAGCCATATGTACCTCTGTAATAATTAAAAATTTATATTAAAAAAAATATATAATTAATTTGAACTTACTTTGTTATACAATCAGTGCCGATGAGTTCCTCTTTGAACGAACCATCATCATTTTCATAACCCCAAGTAATGCTGCCATCTTCGTTTTCCTCTCGCCATTTGCGTATATTTTGCACAACTGGACGCTGACGACGTGGTTGATGTACCTCACGTTCATCCGCCAATTGATTTTGGTCAATAATGGGTCGTGGCTGTATAGGTTTTGGTCGTGGTCGCACTGGTGCCTGTACAATTTGTGGCTCATATTGTGGACGTGGTGGTGCAGGACGTGTTCGTATGACTTTCACACGTTGTTGTGGTGCCGGTGCTGGATTAGGCTGTGTGCGTTCAATGGCAAAACGTTGTGCATTTCCAATGTTAGCGCCAATGCCATAATCTTCAAATGCTGGACGTGAACTTGGTGGGGATGTTGGCTGTGGTTGTGGCTGTAAACGTTCTGGAAAGCGTGTTGAGGGTAATGGATCATCACGTTGTTGTAATGGTAAATCTTGTATACCATTTGGATCGTCACTTAAGAAAGCATTTGCTGTCTGTTGAAATTGTTGTTGTTGAGCTTGTGCCAGTTGTTGTTCTCGTAGCAGTTGTGGTAAATATACATCAGGTTGTTCATCCTCTTCAGATTCTGTCACCGGCTTAGCTTCCTCAACAATGCGTTGCGTTACAGCTGGCAAAGATTGTTGTGCACGCAGGGCAGCTGGTCGACGTGCACGTACTGGCACAGCGGCTGCTGCTAATTTTTCGCTACGATATTGGTTACGTGCGGGCACTGGCAAGGCGCCTGGTATATTAAGTCTTTGTGGGTATGGACCTGTCTGAGCATTGACTAGTACCACGGTAGCTATCGTCACTAAGAATGTGAGCTGTAAATTAAAAGGAAATTTAATAAATTAAAAATAGCTAATTATTTAATGTATTTTTAGTTCTTAAAGTAATTTTAATACAACTCTTTAAATGGCACACTTATGTTTTAGGGTATTTGGTATTTGGTTTGTGTAATCAATTGTAACGGACGTTTTTCTATATGGTGACATATGGCATATATGGTTAGATACGCATATGGTTACTTAATCATTTCGCCAATATTTAATGTAAATTGGTGAATTGCATTTTTAATGCACTGCAACCGGCTTTGGTTAAGCTATGTTGGGATATTGCGTACGGAACTTAAATATTTACATTGTAATAAACCTTAAATGGGTTGCATATTCTTGTTAAGAATCCATCATAATTTTATTGCGCACAGTGACGACTGCTCTAAGGTGCGGAGGTGTGCGGTGAACACCCTAATATAATTTGCAAAATGTTAAATAACATAGGTATATAAATTTATTAAGTATCTTTACATCAAGAATTATTATTATTTATTACATTTCCATATAAATATATATTTTTAAAGTTTTAGCAAAAACAATTAAATATAATTGTCTATGAAAACTCAATTAATTTGCTTCTGTTAGCTGCTATACTTGTTAGGTGTGCTCATATATTTGCAGCTCAAATCACAGAACATTTCTATTATATTTCGTCTCTCCCCTTTGTGTGCAAAGAAGTTGGCCGCACATTCATACGTTGCATATGAACAAAATAATGTGCGTGTGCTCCCGTTCGTAATATCAGAAATAGAGATTTATATAGTGGGAATTGTATGAGAGTAATTTTCTGTTCTATTTGAATATCAACTGTATGCATACGAATCCAACATGATGATTTGCCAAAGTGGTTGCATGAGCGGCTGAAGTTTGCAGCTCATCTCACCATACATTTCTATCACATTTCGTCTCTCCCCTTTAATAGCAGCACCCACGAATTTCTGTTCTTATTGTGCGGGGTACTTGTGCACACATTTATACGTTGCAAGTGGTTTCGATTTTGTTTGATCACTGCACAAACATGTATGTTTCTAAGTACAAACTCTTTTGTTTGAAAAAATTTGGTTTGATGTTACGAGAATTATGTGAAAAGTTTTCCATATTGATATAATATTAAACTTGTATATAAATTATTAATTTAATTTGTTTAATATGTTATTTTGTTAATGAATTGTTAATATAATATTCCGCGAATATATTGTTGCCTTATATAATATAGTTATTATTAATAAAAAATCTCATATATTTTAATATAAGTGGTACATGTAAAAACAACATTAAAGAAGGTCCGCACACCCTTCCAGAAAGGGCACGCGTCGTCACTGATTGCGCACCATTTATAATATAGAAAAGAATTTTATAAAATATGAATATGCCATATCCCATATTTATATTACTTATTGTATTTTATTATTATTATTTTTTAATTTTAATTTGATAATCTTAAACATAATTGTTGTTTATTGGGCTTGCAACCAATGATGAATTATAATTGTTATAAAATGAGTTATGGTGGAAAACAATTTTCATTATTCTTAGATTTAGATTTAGAACAATTAAATTCAAGATATACAAGTCGATCTCGTTTAAATATAAAAAAATTAAGCGATTTCTTTAAAATTCATTATCTTAAATCTCAGACTTATAGTTAATGACTAAAGATTAAGAAATCATGCAACGTTATTAAATATTCCATTCACTGGCTTGTCAAGGCTTATGTGTCGCATTTGATTTCATATCATTGAAGGCATGTGCCACGTACCTAAAACAAGATATTTATTTATTTTATATATTTATATATTTGTTTATTTTTTAAAATATCTCAGTCAGCTATAAGACCTCTTATTAAAAATAATATTAGGCTTCATTAAAGATTCGAAATGGCTTTAAGTCTTTCGCAATATATATGGTCATATAATGGCCTAGCACACAAGTGGATCTCTAGAATTATTGTAATAACTAAATCGAAGGATCTATAATGTCTATAATTTTTATAGAAAATATGCCAAACATTTATAACGTATTGTAAAAAAATAATTGTAAATTTATTTAACTGCATTTAAGTAGTATATGTATTAATTTAAATACCTGTACAAAAAGTATACGTACATGTATTAAATAAAATTGTTTAAATTATTTTATAATCCTAATGTTAATTATGATTTAATATCCGTGGTATTTACTTGTAAGACAAGTGCACTCAATCGCTTTACTCATATTGTATACAATAGCATTAAAAGTAAAATTATTTCATAAGAAATTCCTAAAATAGTTTTAACAATTGCAAATTTTGTTGTAGTTGTTTTGTTATAATTTTGATTGTTGTTGCTTTTGTTGTACAACATGACCAACATGATACCGTGGTTTGACCAGATTTCCTCAACCAATATTACAACTAGAGTAATGAGTTTGTTTGGTTTTTTGTGCTTTAGTGCTCTGTTGCTAGCTTGGTTGGTTGTTGGTCATTAGAAAATCTAGGGAGGCGGTAGATTATGTTGGTCTTAGTATAAAAGGTGTGTTTTTTGCATTCCAAACAGGTTTCATTTACGTTTTCGAAATGATCGCAATTTCGCATGCACTATGTTGTCATAGGAAACATGTTACAGCTACCATCACTAGGTGTGCACATTAAAATGAAGAAATAATTTATAGTACTTGAACTTATGATTTATAAAAAAAAAATTTTAAAAAATATTAATTCATAAATACTTAATGTAGAGTAAATTTTATTCGAATTGGTGTTTCGATTGGTAACGTCACTGATTTATTATATACCTCGAGAATATCGAATTATTGGGTTGCCCCTAATTTTATAAATGTATTGATTTGTTTAAAAGTGTTTCTACAAGCTTTCGAGATGATTTACATATAGTATGTTGATAAATTGTATCAACAGCAGAAATCATTCGATAATTTTCGAAGATTAACTCAAATGAACTCAAATTTCGAAAAAATAAAATCTTTACTTATCGGAATAGTTACGAGTACATTCAGGCAACAGTAATATTTGTGTCGTTAAAGGCTTAGAGAAAAACCAAAAAAAAATTATAGGCATTTGAAATTTATTTATTTCCTCCTCAGGGTATTGTTATAACTGATTAAAAATGAAGTTGCGAATTTGTCAGCAACGTCTGAATCATTATTATGTTTGAAGATTTAGCAATACAACCTACAGCTCAATTGCGTCCATCTGACTTATTTTAGAATGGATAAAAAATTAAACTACGTACTGAATTACTTTTTTGATATTAAAAATGTATTATATTATATTTTACATTAACATATATTATATTTTGATATGTAGTATATTTCATATACAATGGTTATGCTTTGCTTACATAATATGACATCTAAGTTGAGCACTGACTGTATGCGTGATGAAGTGAAGAGGCTTATATTCTAATTTTTTTTTAATTTGATTTCAATGAAAGTCTACAAACTCAATGAAAGTGTACAAATTTGAAAAAGTCTTCAAATTTACTTTGTAATGAGGATATTTGAAAAGTTTGACTTCATTATTTCAGTAAATGGTATAATAGATTATTGACCTATGAGCGTTTTTTGTATGTTTTGTATACAAATTTTTACCTTTATTTGTGAAAAAAAAGATTTTCCTAACATTTTATATATAAAAATAAATTTAACAGAATAAAAAGTAATTTGATTTTTACTTAAAAATTAATATAAAAAAGAAATTTAAACAAATATGCAAATATAATTTGAGTAGAAACAAAGCAAAAGCTGAAAATAAAAAGGAATATCTCATCAAATCTGGGAAAATAATTTTGATGACCTTGTCTATAGACGGCTCTATCAATATAATTATTATTATAATTATAAATTTTAAATTAATAATTTAAAATTAATAGTGCTTCTATGTTTTTCAAACATAAAAAAATCTACTAAAAAGTGAGCACATCTGTGTGTTGTTTTTTTAATTGTATATCTTCGAAACATGAAAATATTATTTAGTAAGATAATATTAGTAACTAATAATATTAGTAACTCCAACTTATAGTGGACTTAATTTTTAAATTGGAAATACATTTTTAAATTGTTTATCTTTGAAATATAAAAATATTCACAAGTCCAGTTAATAAGGGGACATTTTCAAAGTTTACTCAAATTCTTGAGTAAATGATGTTTTCTCTGTCTGTATTTTTATTCCAACAGTCAACACTGCCACTAATTTCATTCGTTTCTTTCTTTCATTTTGTTTATAATTTATGACCCTCTTTCCCGAATGTCCAAATCAGAAAATAAATTCTTATTTAATAAAAATGAATAATAATTTTATTAATAAAATACATTATTTAATAAAATTATATAATTTTACCATTACATGAGTAGCTCATGCTTATAATCAATATTGCTGACCAATTTTTGGAGTAAAAAGAAATAATTGGAGCGGCTTAAAGCTATGATTTTCTGCATCACAGACACTGCAGTAAATATTTTAGCCATTAATAAGTGTATCTTTCTTTCCAGTTACTTTATTGTGTAATTTGCATAGGTAAAAATAAAATAAAATAATTCGTTTATAGTAACTTTTATTTTCGTTACATTTTTAATTGTGGCGTGTATACGCAATACAGCGAAAAATTAAATAATATTATTTCCTATTGTTTTGGTTTGTTTTTCCGTTTTTGTTATTTCAAAATTTCACTGTCGAGGCTATGATATTTTGAATGAATCAAGTTTTTCCGCAAAAACAAAAAATTAAATAAAGTTCAAATAATGCATACATATATTCGATATTTTTAAAAGCAAAAAAAAATATTTTTTAAAATATTCGCCTTATTATTATTTTTATTAAGACTGCTTTTTAGTATAAAAATAAATTATAAAAAATTTAATAAAAATGTATGTAAAAAAAATTAATAAAAATTTATTATTAAATTAATTAAAAAATTAATAAATTTGATTTAATCAAAATAATAATAAAAAAAATATAACTTCAAATTTTGGAACAAGGCCGACTTTGAGTTACA